AGTCATTCAGTCACTTTGCGTGCGTCCGTGCTTGCGCGTGTGACTATGTGTGTGTCAGTCAATGGTTGCTGGACGTTGCAGACAGACCTGTGCAAGTACTTGCACAGAGATGAACGAACAAGACGTCCGTTCCGTTCCGTTGGATGCATGCTGCTGTATTGGTGCTGATTGAATCCATCGATTCACACACTAGAATCCATCGATCCAAACAGTCCGCACAAAAGAGAAATTCAGTCGTTTCCGTGATATAGTGTGTCAGCATAGCATCAAGCAAGAACCGACCGAAAAAGGTGGGGGACGAATGAATGCAAACCGACATGCGAAGCGACGTCACCCGTTCGTTGTCTCTTCGACCCACATGGGAGCCATCAAATGGCCGACTCACACCGACCCCCTCTCTCTCTCTCCCCATGGCCACAGGGAGGGAGGGAAGGAGCGCATCATCCACCACTGGTAGCTACGGGGCGCCCGCACCGCCAGCAGCAACGGTGTCTGTCGTCTCCTGCGGTGCTGAAGGTGCGTCAGATCGCCGGAGCGCCCGCATGGCTGGCTCAAGCGCCCTGTTGGTGGCCTCCAGCTGCAGCACCACCCAGGCGTACTCCTGCCGGAAGGAGTCACTCATCTCAGCCCGGGAAGCCGCAGCACCAGCAGAAGCAGAAGCAGCAGCAGCAGCGGCAGCAGCAGAACCACCGCCCCCGTCCGCTGCTGAGGCGGCATCGTCGGTCGCATTGTTGGCCGCCACCTCTGTGTTGATCTGCATTGCCCCGTCAGTCACATAGGTAGACAGAATGACAGACGGATAGATAGATAGACAGAGGGAGGGAGGAATGCCATCGGTGGGCTGCCTACCGTCCTGAGGGTGTGGAGCAGCCTCTCCTTGCGATCGAGGAGCCGAATCATGGCCGCCAGGCACCCCACATCCAGCGCTGCACTCGCACAGACAGACAGACAGACGCCCGTAAGAATGGGTGGTTCCTCGGTGCGGGCGCTCTGCAGCTCACCGCTGATGCATGTGTTGACTCGGCCCGAAAACTCTGACAAGAAGCCGATGGCCTCATCCTGTGCATCATAGCCCTCTGCACACACAACACATCCATCCATCCATCGATCCATCGATTGACAAGGCCGCCGCCAGGCGACCCCCGTGAGTGTTATTTACCGAGGAGGTGCGTGTCGGCGACATCGAGCCTCCGGCCGTCGGTCGTGTCTGTGAGGGGAAAGACGTCCGTGTCGACGACAGACGCGATGCCGCCAGCATCCGGGCGGCTCAAGTGCACGAAGTATCGACACACCGAAGTGGCGCCGTCAGTGTCTGGCGAGGGGAAAGCGGAGGGGCTCGCCAGCCCGTCAGATCTGATGTGAACCAATCCATTGTCAGACAGGGAGGGAGGGAGGGGGGGCAGAGAGATGGTTGGCTGACCCCGTTGTGGTGAAGTCGGCCGTGCCCATGATGGTCCCCTGCTCCAGCTCGCGAGTGTTCGGGTGCACAGCTGCAGCCAGACACCGAACCAGGGAGCGCAGAGCACCGCACCCCACCGCACCACCTATCGCGTACGCGCCGTTGGGTGTTCGTGCATGCATTAATGTTTACCGAGGACGGAGTCGCCTGACACGAATGGCTGGGGGATCACCTGCACTCACACACGGAATCGAATCGCACACATCACATGCGCGCCATGCGTACGCCTCGATATGGTCCCCCACGCCGCCACGCCAGCAACGAATCGAATGGACTGACTGACCTGCAGGTACGAGAAGAGGTCTCGGAACTCGTGGGGCACCTGCCGCTTCGCCTGCAGCAGGTGGACCGCATGACGATACCTACAGACAGACACCAGACACCAATGCAATACAATGCGATCAATGCTCTCTCTCTCGTGTACATCCGATGGGGGAGTGGAGGGGCCTTGACGCACCTCTGTAGCTTGTGCCTTTCTTGTGCGAGGAATTTGGCCGACAGCCGCCGCATCCGGCCCATCTCGGCACGCAGACGACTCCACTCACGACGCAGCAAACCGACACGCTGATGACGGATATTTGCAGGCTCGGCTCGTGTCGACACGTCCTGTAGAGTTAGTTCTTGCCTCTCTAACCTACCCGCTGTCTGTTTTGGTGCAGGATGGGGCACCGCTGGCAGAGTGTGGCCTCAAACTCATTGGTGTCGAAGTACAGCCGGTCTATCGGGCTGTAACACCACTCATACCTACACACAACACAACACACCGATAGATAGATGAGATGCATGAACCAATCGATGGATGGATGCGAAGAGCCAGCCATACGTATCTGATCTGAATGCCTGCAAACCAGCCCACCATCTCCCCCACACACCGACCTGCAGAATTTGGTGGCGGCTGAGGACATCAGGCACCGCCTCAGCTCCAGCTCGCGCCTCATCAGGCTATAGCGCACCTTGCTGTCGGTGTCCTCTCCTGCTGCTGCTGCTGCTGCCGAGGCATCAGTCATCTCGCCGCGAAGGGCCTGCACCAACGAGATGAATGAAGCCCCTGGCTGTGCGTGTGTGTGTTTGTTTGTTTGCGCCCCCTCATACCCCCCTACCTGATAGCCATCGTCGACAAGAGGCGCGACGGACCTGAGTGTTCGAACACATACCCGGATGGATGGACAGATGGACACCCTCAAATGCGTCAGTCAGGCTCGCTCTTGTCTGCGTGTAGCCATCAAGCACTATCCATCCCTCCCTCAATCCATCCATCGATCGTACCATGCCTTGCGCAACGCACGCCGGCGCTGCACAGGGGCAGCCCCGCTCCCTGCCGAAACGTGCTCCTGGTCCTGCACACAACACATACAAGGGCGGAGCTCGATGAGCACACGACCACGGCGTTCGTGCATTGAATGACTGACCGTCGTGGGCTGTGCTTCTCCGTCGCCGCCGGCCGTCATGGCCTCGTCCTTCTTGCCTCCCTCCTCGCCAGCCCGCATTCTGACCATCGCACACACACACGGAAGGAAAGGACGCCATTGTATGCATACGACAGACACATCCAGTCGATGCGATGTGCGTGTTCTGGTGGATGAATGAGCTGCAGCCATACAGGGCCTACCTACCTCAGGAGCTGTGCCGCAAGCCTTGCCATCGGGCCGACGGAGAAGTCATGAACCCATCAGCTCATTGGTCGGCCATGATATTGGAACACTCAGGGAATCCAAAGTGGCACAAAAACTCATCATGATGTCTCGTAGATCTCACGATAGTACGAGCTTAGTGGAGAAGAAGCGTGGATGGCATTCTTCCGACCCAGATTTTTCTCTCGGTGACCGAAGATGGAGTGCCCTAACTGGATCTTCGCCCTGGTGCTCGTCTTCTCGCTATGGCGCATCCGCGTCGACGCCCGCCGCATCTCAGCCCACACTCGAGGGGCGCCTGCAGCCTTCCTGCATCTCATGCCTCAACTGCCAACATTCGGCACAGATCGCCGCACCGGCAGGCAACGAAGAGGCCATGCAGAAGCAGCAGCAGCAGCTGCCTCATCCCAACCTTCCCCTGTGGATGAGCTCATCGCCGAGCAGCCGTCCCTCTCGCCCATCCAGACGGACGCCAATGTGCCCGACGGCCACAGGGGGCTGCACTCGTTCCTCTACGACGACGGCAAGGAGGACGACGCCCATGCGGCCAAGCCAGCCGGCAGCCGCGGCCGAGTGCGGTTCGACGGCGTCAACATGTATGGTGTGGATCGGTGGCTGGGCATGCACAGGGAGGAGAGGGTGTGCGGGGTGTACAGCGTCCTCGACGAGGACCGGTCTGTGCAGTATGTGGGGGTCTCCAGGAACGTCGCTGTCGCACTGGAGAGCCACAGGCGGCAGACGCCGCCGGGCACCGTCGCTTTCGTCCGAATCAAGGTGCGCACTGAGGCAGACAGACAGAAAGGTGTGTGTGCGTGTGTCCAAAATGTGTGTGGCTGCGTGTGATCCATCTCTGTGTGCAGAGCTGGGACTATCCTCGTCGGGAGGAGATGGATGCGCTGAGGGACGAGTGGATCAGGGAGAGCGGGAGGGTGCCCCCGGGCAATGAGGACGCCTCACTGGGATTTGCAGAGACCATCAAGGACGTACGTACCTATGCACGCACCCACAATGCACAGACGAGGAGGAGAGGCATCGACGTGTTTGCGTCTGTGGTTGCAGGCGTCTACTGACGGCATGAAGGATGACGAGAGGCAGCAGTACCACGATAACAAGGTGGGCCAGCGAGTGGGTCAGGGGCGCCACTGACTCACCAGACAGACAGGCAGACCAACCCATCCATCCATCAGCCGCTCTCTCTGGCTGCGTGTGTCCATCCCTACTTGTCGCTCAGCTCAAGCTGCGGCGTGCAATGGCCGACAACACACTCATCGACGAGACGCCAAACATCATCGAAGAGGAGATCATGAACAGGTCAGAACCAACCCACCCACCCAGAACGCACCGCTTCCACCGTCTATTATGAATTGCCGTTGATTGTCACGTCACTTCACTTCACTTCACCTCACCTCAGGGAGGCCTTGCTGCACGCCCTCAAGGACGACGACTGGTCTGCCGTCATCGACGGGCAGACCAACGCGACCCTGAACCCACAACTCATCAACGCGCAGCTGCAGGAGGCACTCAAGATCGGCCGTGACGACACCTCCACAGACACACAAGGGGAGGCAAACGTGGTCAGCCCATTCGCCCCCGGCAGGCAGGGCGACGACGCAGTGGCAGCACGGACAGCCGAACCTGCTGAGTGTAGGCCCGCCACGCACATAGCAGCCAGCACCCACATCCTTCAGCTTTGATTCGCGGTATGTGTGTGGTGGGTGTGTGTGCGCAGCTCTGCCGCTGACAGTGGACAACGTGGATAGGGTGCTGGACGATGTGCGGCCGTACCTGCAGGCCGATGGGGGCAATGTCATGGTGGTCGCCGTCGACCCCACACACAAAACGGTCACTGGCAGGCAGCAAGGCAGATTCTGGCGAGATTAGACATTTATGAGGCATTCATTCATTCAGCCATGGCTGAATCGTCCCTTCTCTTGGTGCGGTGTGTGCAGATCAGCCTGGCGCTGCAGGGTGCGTGTGGCAACTGCCCGTCGTCCCAGATGACGCTCAAGATGGGCATCGAACGGCTCCTCAAGTACGCACCGCGCCGACCCGACATCAGTGAATGCCACACTCATCTGCCTGCGTCTCTCTTTCGTGTTTCCGTTCCTTCCCTCCACACGTCACTTGTCGTGTGTGCAGGGAGACGTGGCCCGACTTGAATGACGTCGTTCCAGTGTCCGACCCCTCCTCGCCCCATGCGGCCCCCGCCCCCCTGCCCTTCGGCGTGGAGCTCATCGAACGGCACCTCGAGGAAGTGCGGTGGGGCCTCAACGGCATGGGCGCATCGTGCGATGTCATCGAGGCCAAAGGTGGGTACCACACACAGACAAGACAGACAGACAGACAGACATGGGTGTTCCATGTGTCTGGTGTCTGGTTCATGGATCCTTCTGTGTGTGGGTGTGGGTGTGGTTGTGGTTGTGTGCAGATGGTCGTGCGGTGCTGCGGTATGCCGGTCCAGACCCAGGCCGGATCACGTTCGGGATCGAGCTGATGCTCAAGGACGCCGTGCCCAACAACCAGCTGCAGGTCGTCGAGTTCGTCACTGACGAGCCTCAGACGGACGACAGGCAGCAGGCCACAGCGGCATAGACGGGGGGAGGGGGGAGGGGGCGGCAGGGGGGATTGACGGATGGTGAGGTGGATGGCCATATGTGAATGCTCTATTGGGCATGCCTGCCTGCCTGCCTGCTGCCGTTGTGATGGATGCGCTGAGGTGCGATGGGACGGGCACATAGAGATCGAGTGCAAAGGTGACTGAAGGACACTTTTGTGTGTTGAACTCATTATCCATCGTCTTGTTTATGCATACGTACAATGCGCCGACACGCCCATCTCTCTCTCTCTCCCTCCCTCCCTCTCTACGTGTCTGTTCATGTGAGTGGTCGGGTCAGCGACCCTTGTGTGACCTCGTCTCGTCAAGGATTTTTCCACACATCCATCGAGTCACGTGTCTCATCGCATCACCATCGCCTCGAGTGTTCCACACGAACCGCACTTCACCTCACACCCACACTCCGTGACGTGCTCTAGGCATCCCTCCATCCATCCATCCAGTTTACGAAAATCGGCACACACCGTGCAAACGTGCAGAGAGGGGGGGGGGGACACATCAATCGCACAGTTAGACTGCCCATGGCTGCGGACAACCCACAGACACTCTTAGATACAGAGAGATGTAGAGAGAGACGCGCTGGCCGATTGAGCCACGTGTGCGCGTGGGGGAGTGGGTGCCTGGCGACAGGGTAAGAGAGAGAGAGCCGGGCATACAAAGGAAAAAGGTAAAGAGAAAGGACTGTGCCCTCGGCACATACACCACACACCGCCAGTCATCACACGCGCAACACAGTGGCCCATGTGGCCATGACGTGATATATATTGAAACGTCATAACCGAATAAAAGGCAGAGGCAACACGACACGCAGAACGTCTGTTGGGTACTGTTGTGTTTGTGCGTCGCTCGGGAGCGATGCACAGGCAGGCAGGCAGGCGGCTACGAAACGAGTGCATATCATCAAGTACCACGATCAGTCAGTCCGCCCCACTCCCACAAGATGATCGATCGGGATCACTGCCACAGACACAGCCGAAACGCCCACACGACACGACACGACATACGGAAAACTGACTGCTGCTACTGCTCCTGGGCGGCGAGTTGCTGCTTGGCGGCATCCAGCTCTTCTTGCAGCTGCTTGTTCTTGGCCCGCAGCTCATTGTTCTCGGCCCGCAGCTGACGGATACAGTTGATTACGTCTTCCATGTCTTGGCTCTCGTTGTTCAGCGCTTGGGTCTTGTTGACCAAGGATTGGAGAGCTTTGTCCTGTTGTGGGTCGCTGCCCTGGTCCATCTTGTGGGAGTCGGTGTGACCGAGGGGGGGATGGAATCAGCACCTACACACGGTCACCAGAGACACACAGAAAGGTAGTCGGTTTCTGACAAGTGGGTGCGCAGCAGTGGCCGTGAGGTGCGGAGTGCTGTAGGGGGTGCAGCTGAGCTCACACTGGCTGCCAGTCACTGTCCCTCTCACCTTCTGCTTGGTGGTGCGGGCGGGGGGACCACAAAGATCAAAGCGGCACGATGACCGACGTGTAACTAAGGGGACAGACCAGTTTCGTTTAAGGTGCACAACACGTCAAGCCTCGCAGATGTGGCTTCCGCAAAGATCTGGATCTTGTCTCGCGTGTCAATAGCTCGCTGACTGCTCGACGCACCGGAGAAGTGCAGCGCAGCAACAACAGGACGATAAGCATCTGATCAAGGACAACCACACCAACCACAGCGACCAACAGAGTCAGCAATGATCTCATCGTCTGTCTGTCTGATCTGGCTGTGAAGGTGTGGAGGGCGAGGCCGTCCGCCGTGCCGTTCGCTTTTCCTTTTGGCGTGCCGCGTGACACGACTGAGCAGCAGCAGGGCCATGACCAGCAGGCCGACAGCCAAGGCAACCCAAGGCATTGAGAAGGAGAGACCGGAGACCACCCTGGCTGGCCCTCATGGATGCGATGCGCCTCTGTGGCATCCGGCGGCTGGTGTGCCATGCATTGGATGCCGTCAGCCCCGACGCTCAGCTCAGCTCAGCTGCACTGCTGCGGGAACACCTCAGCCACTTGTCTCGCCTCAGCTGGTGGGAACGAGTCGAAGTGCAGTTCAGAGCCACAGAGGGCAATGAGCCACGTCGGAGAGCCAATGAGATGCTCCAGGGGCCATCAGACAGCAGGGGATGAGCACCAGGTGAGAAGAACACAAGTCAGCACCGACGAAGAATCTCGTGACTGCTTCGGTTTTGGTTGTGTCTGGCAGGCCCTGGCCTGCTCGAGGGAATGACTGCAGCAGCGAGCGAATGCTTCATTTGCGAATCACCGAGCTAAGCTCGCAAAGCGATCGGGGAGGGGAGGAAGGGGCGATGGGGCCAAAGTGCGTTGGATGGGGCCCGGGAGCTCTGAAATTGAAGTAGGGGCCGATCTACTGAGGGGAGCGGTGATCTGGCGCTTCAATGCGTTTTGTCGGGGGTCCTAAGGAATCAGAGGCCAACCAGGTGACCGAAGGGGAGAGAGAGCACCGCAGACAGACTGCCGATGGCCGACGATGAGATCTGGTCGGACTGCAGGTGTCCTTCCCTCTCTGTCTGTTTGTCAGCGGCCAAGGATGACACGAGGGCATGGCTGAGTGAATGAGGGGGGTCATCTGGCAGGTCTTATGTGCGGTGAGCCGCGTGGGTGCGGTGCCAGAAGGGACGACACTGCAGATAACTCATTGCCTTCTCTCCCTTGTGTATGTCACTTATGTGTTCAGCCTTGGTCGTGGACACGTGGCGCAGTCCAGCCGACGTGGGAGTGAGTGCGTCCATGAGGCGGCCGAGCAGAGCGCTGTGAGCGGCGCAGCGACAGACGTCGACGGACGGCTGTCATTTGCCCGGTGAGAGATCCATCCGAGAGTGACAAAGACCTGCCGGTTTGCAATGTTTGTGTATGTTTGTTGCAGGTCTGTCTGTCTGGTGATGTGTCTGCCGACGCCGCTTCACCAGGCGCTCTCGGAGCGTTGTCATCGCCCCCTTGCTGACTGGTGGCGGGGCGGCCTCACTGTGTGGCGTCGTTAATGCCTGGAGCTCCGGCAACAGTACGCTCAGAGGCTGAGGATCGAGGATGTCTTTCATCGAGGAGGTCGAGGTCGCCATACGCGAGAGACGTGTGGTGCCTCCTCCGCGTCGTGACATTGGCGTCAGTGCGTCAGGGCCGTCATGGGTACGGAAGGAAACACATCACGTACATTCCTCCAGATCTGACCCATCAGTCGTATTATTGTGTGCGTGCAGACCATGAGCCACACGGTGCACAGCCGAGAGTGTCGGATTCGCTTCACGCCAGGAAAGGTCTCCTACGACACTGGTAGCATGGAGGCGCTGCGCTGCTCGGTGCTCTCCAGCTCAGACGGCAGCACCTGGTCAATGGCGGGTGCGGCAGGTGTGTGCCGTCGGCCAGCACGCGTGACAACGAGGAAGCCGGGCCTCAGCTGCATGGACTCGTGCAGGAGACGGTGACGGCCATCGACGCTGCACTCCCGCTCATCGCCAGGAACGAAATGCCGTCTCTCCAGGGCACCGTCCGGATGAGTCACATGCGCAACAGAAAAAGGTGCCGGCTGAGCTTTGGATGGGGCCCAAGTCTGGCCGAGACAAGCTGACAGCAGTCAGGCTGGCTCTTGAGGCCAAGTGGGACCATATGTTGGGCGAAGTATTGTCGATGAGTGGGCTATATGTGTAGTAGGTCTGCGTCACTGATGGATGACCGAGATTGGATGGACGAGTGGGGACGGTGTAGGGCTCTATTCTGTGTGGCTTTTCAACTGAAATGTGTAGGAGCCTGCCCTTAGTGTCTTAGGTCCGTGCATACCCTGCGGCACGTGTGTGCTTCTTGATGTGTTGCCTTATCAGGCATGCGCATTCATACCTGCCCGCTGCATGTTGGGGTGCGCACAGATTGATGAGGGCTGCCTTGCCCTCTTATCTTTCGCCTCTCTGACTGACTGTGTGTGTCGTCTCATGGCATGTGTGGACGTATGTGTGCGTACCGCAGTGATGACGTCCATCCATCCATCCATCCATCCACACCTACACACAGACACAGGCAGGGACAGGTGGGAGCGAGGGAGGGAGGGAGGGACTGTTTGATTGAGCGACTGAGTGGCTATGGGCTGTGAGGCTGGCGATGTGTACATGTGGGGGGCAAGCTGCTTTTTGTGCCGGCCAGCGGATTGGAATTTTGTGTGTGCCATGCTGACTGGCTGACTGTCTGACTGTCTGAGTGTCTGTGTGTGTACGTGCGTACCGCAGTGCTGGCGGGTACACATCCACACATCCACACATGAGGGACGGGTGAAGGTGACCACACATGCGGTGTGTCCATCTCTTGTTGTATGTTTATCTGTGTGTGTAGTAATCGTACGCCTACGTCTGTCTACTCGTCCCCCTCTCTCTCTCGCAAATGATGGCCTTCTCGGCAAATGATGGGACACATTTCTGTGGGCAGAGAGTCCGGCCGATCAAATCCCATTGCAAACTGACTATCGTGACACTCATGTGAGAACACAAAACAGCAGCAGAGTGACCATACGAGCGCACGCGAAATTGTGGAACACATTTATATGGGCAGAGATGAGACAAGGATGGCGGGCAGAGAGGGGCGCCATTGTGTGCTCCTCGTCCTCCTTTGCCTCTCCTCGATTACTTAGCGCCAAAGTTCGGGAGGGCAACGTGCTGGCCAGAGCATATCATCAGCTAGCCGACGCCTCACTGTGGGCTGCGCGTATGGTGGGGTGCTGGTTGCTTGACGCTGTATGTGTGTCTTGTCCCGTGGTTTGTGGTTGAGAGAGCGCCTGTGTGGTCGGTCAGTGTCATGTGTGTCTTTTGTCCGCACCGATGGATGCACTGAGTGGATGCCCGCACTCCAGCTATTTCGCACGAGACACGATCAAGACGGACAATACTCCCGTCGTCCCTTGCGTATGTGCACCCGGTTTCTTCAAGCTTTTGATCGAAGCCACTCTAGACGACAACACAGTGGTCCATGTGGCCATCACGTGATATATATTGAAACGTCATAAGCGAATAAAAGGCAGAGGCAACACGACACGTCGACACGCAGAGCGTCTGTTGGGTAGGTACTGTTTTGTTTGTGCGTCGCTGGGGAGCGATGCACAGGCAGGGAGGCAGCCACACAGCACAACAGAGATGTCAGCATCACATCAATCACATCACACCGGCAGCTATTCTGTGTGGCTTTTCAACTGAAATGT